CGTTCTCCTACTACCTCCTACCGTCCCCCCCGTTCCTAACTTCTCACACTCTCCGCCTCCCCCCCTACCTCCGAACTTCTACACGTCCTCCGACCCCCCCCCTCGAATTCTCACACTCTCGGGCCCCCCCTCGAATCCTCACACTCTCGGGTCCCCCCCCTACAGGACCGTGTCGCAGGCTACCGCTGGCAGTACGTCCTCCTCAAGTGGCTGTTTGCGTTCATCATCGGCCTCGGCACCGCGCTCACCGCTTTCGCGATCAACCTCGGCGTCGAGAACGCGGCGGGCGCCAAGTTCATCCTCCTCTTCAAGTTTATGCGCGAGGGCCGCGTGTGGTTATCCTTCGTGGTTTACACGCTGGTCAACTTCGGGTTAGTGTTGACCTCGTCGCTCCTGGTGGCATATGTGGCGCCCGCCGCGGCGGGCTCGGGGATCCCCGAGGTGAAGAGCTACCTGAATGGGAACGACATCCCCGAGATCCTGAGCCTGCGCACGTTGGGGACTAAGGTGGGTAAGACTGTTACGTTTGGGATCTCGTGAAGGCTAGATCTTTTCTCTGCCCCGGGTCTGCCTCTTTCAGATTTCCTACGAGATCGCGGGCTGCGAGGTCAATTGCTAGAAAGTCTCGCCATAAATGCCTAGGGTAGTAATATCAATACAAATAGCGTAGTATTTAATTCATCTGTATCTGAGGCGAAGAGCTGCCCAAAGAGGAATATATTACTCAAGTGATGCTGAGCCTGTGCATGTGCGCGAACCAAGGTGGGTGGCTTTTGAAAGTTTGGAGGTTTGAGGGTTTGAGGGGTACAGAAGTTATGAAGGATTTGAGTGTGCAGAATATGAGTTCCAAGTCGTGAAGTTATTGGACAAGCACAATTGCAAACAGCTTAGAATCCAGTGAACGTACAAGAAGCAACCACCACATACGAAATCGCTTGATCAGTGGACTGGTATTTCGGCAGTGGTTGCTTTTGCCCAAAGAGAGATCTGCACCAATCGTTTTATGGGTGACACTAGATCGAAATTGAAGACGAGAGCGTTGTAAGCAAGTAGGCGACTTTCTTTGCCGGCAGATTGTGGGCAGCGTTGGGAGCGTTGGCGGTGGGTTGGCTGTGGGAAAGGAGGGCCCGTTGGTGCACACCGGAGCGGGCATTGCGGCGCTGCTGGGCCAGGGGGGGTCCACGAAATGGGGGATGACGTGGGGGTGGCTCCGCCTGTTCAAGTAAGGCCTTGGTCCAAGCTGGATCCCGCTCGTGGTTGTAAGGGCGGGTTATGGTTGTAGTATTGGATGGCAACGGGCTTCCTTGTGGAAGAGGTTTTTGTGGAATGATTCGTTGTTACTACGTTGCCTATTGTGTTCTTTAAGCACAGAATAAGTTCCCTGTCGACTAGTAGAGATCCAGGGATCCGTCATTGGCCCTATTTGGTGGTCCTGATTGGATGGAGCCCAGAACACCTTGGACTCAGCATCCCACATCTTCGAAAGGTGGCTCCAGTTCATGGACTTCATACTTGCTTCCGATATGCCGATCTATCCAACTCAATCCTCAGTACACGAAATGCAGCGGTTTTGGCGCCAGGGCCGCACGCGGAAGGATTTGATCAAGTTAGTCAGGACCTTCTGATTTGTAACGGGTCATTGGTTTTCATGGTTTTTGCTATCGCTGCTACTGCGCGGCTGGAATCAAAAAGGTGTCTCCGCTTACGCAGCACGCTTCCAGAAGCCTCCCGAATCCGCGACAACCGGCCCGTCAGTGTACTCGAACCACTTCCAGCATGAGTCCCTTCTCTCGACGCAGTCCTTCTCCCTGAAGTCTTTCGGTCGTCTTCGGATCAGCGGTACTTCGACTTTGCAGTAGCAGTTGATTTGACTCGTTGAATATCGATTACCCATTCGGTTTTATACTCGAATATCTCCCGCTAACTATGAATCGTGTACATTCATTGTATATGCACACGAGAATAACGTGCGAATCATTTTATTGCTTTCTTTCAAAATCACGTACAAGGGAATCGTACGTAGGAAAATAAAGAAAGTTCCGGGCCCCTGATTATAAATTTCTGTTCTCCCCCCCCCCTCCAAAACAGGAACGATCGCGATCGTCGGGATCTAGTCACCTGCGGCGCCGCTGCGGGCGTTGCTGCGGCGTTCCGTGCGCCCATTGGGGGAGTGCTCTTCGCGATGGAGGAGGCTGCCAGCTGGCTGTCGAGTCACCTGCTGTGGCGCGTCTTCTTCACGACTGCGGTCGTGTCAGTGACTATCAAGGCGGCCATGGGCTGGTGAGAGGGGGCGAAGTTCCTTGATACTCTTACTCTTTGGGGTTTGAAACTTGGGTGACTTTGAGGAAGACTACAGAAGGAGAGATCTGGTGGATGTTGAAGACAACTCGGCTGAGAGAATCTGACGACTGGCGCTAGAAGACGGGTTCGGTTTTTTGGCCCTAGGAGGCATTCACCGCTGTGCATAGCGCGTTCCGTGGTTTTCACCGTCGGAAGTAGCCACTCTCGGGTTTGTTGTCATACTGCTCTCCTAATCAGTCAGCGGCAAACCCCAAGACAAGTGCTCATACGACGGCCAGGTCCTACCTGAACGTTGGGGTCTGATACAAGCAGGCCCGACCTTTTTGCTTCTTTGTTTTTGCACGAGCGAAGCCACCCGTTCAATGACCATAGCTTGAAGCACTGCCCTTTTCCTCCCAAATGCTCCTAACCCAACCCGCTCTCTGACCCGCTCGCCAAGCGCCGATAAACCCGCCACTAACCTGCCCACTAACTTCTCACCACTCGCCGCCCCTTAAGTTCCTTACTAACCCGCCTCCTTAACCCTCCCCCCTCCCTCAGGTGCTCCAAGCCAGGCGCATGCGGGTTGTTTGGCGCGGGCGGCTTCATTCTCTTCAGTGAGCCCACGGCGCGACATGGGTACACTTTCTTCGAGCTGTTGCCGACAGCTGTCATCGGGGTCACGGGAGGGCTGCTCGGGGCGCTGTTCAATACGCTCAACTGCAAAGTGACCAAATGGCGCCGGAACGTGAGTGCTCGGTTCACAGGAGTTTTTGGCCGTTAACCATGGGTGGTTAGGGGCTCTTTATGGCTGGTCAGAGACTGGTTACCAAACTTGGGCTTCAACCAGCCCCGGAACAAGGTCAAAGCCGGGTTACTTGTCCAGTAACCTGAGTCTCAGTCTGGTGACCAGCCTGGTTAGGAGCCAAAACTTGCTGTGGTGGTAGCTGTTCGCGTCGGACGTCGACCTTCAGTAACGATCTTGGACGGTTGAAGCATCCAGTGTCGTTTATCGAAACGGTCTGACAGCGTGCACTCGGCGAGCTTTTGAAGGCGGCGTTTGCATCGCACTGCTTTACAAGCCCTTTTCAGCCTTCGTTTCCGAGCTCAAGCGGACAGAGTGATGTAGGAAACATTGGCCTTCAAAAATGGCTAGTCCGACGCAAACGGCTGATGCTGTGAGGTGACTCGCTTCGAACTCGCTCCCGGATGTCTGTCTGCAACTTGGAACGGGTGTTATAAGAACACAATACGCGATTCAAAGTGCCTACGATCTTTTGGATGTCACGAATTTTGCCCACAGTGCGCTTCTGTACCGTTGCTGCAAAATATGAGTCTCATAAAGGATCGCGAGCAGCGGAAACCTGAAGTCATTTGGACCTCGCTTAGGGAGCATTCTTAAGGGACGATTCATTGGATTTGGACGATACTCGTGAAGATTTCAGCCTTCTTAAAATCTAAGGCCGTTAGTCTTTCTGGTCTTGGCTGTTGTCGGGGCGTCGTGGGACCTGTTATTGAGGCCTCTCGATTGCAGGACCAATGACCCCGTCATCCCTCCAGCACCCCCTAAGAGCACCAAATTTCCTACAAAATTCCCGCTGTTTCCGCTTTTGACAGGCTCTCACCTCTCACAACCAAGATGCCTCTGGCGGCTTCCGATCCCTAATTCGCATGAAGAGGCTAGCGCCCTTCTCACATCAGGTTAACTCGCAGTATTCCGCGATTCCCTCATTTATTGAACCCGAATCCAATTGACATACTCGGGCCCAAGATGCTCTCTTCGACGAAGTGTTCGATAGCTACCAAAACGCGGAGAGTGTAATTTATCGTTGGCTTCCGCAATCTTCGCACGTTACGCATTGCAGACTGGCCGTGCAACATCTTGGGTGCGAGTTTAAGGTGCCCGAAATAATTCTGCCCCGGTCCTTTCCTGCAGACCCTCGCCCCCCGCGGCAAGCGCTACCAGGTCGCCGAGGCGGCCGTTGTGTCCCTCCTCACCTCCATCGTCGGCTTCAGCTTCGCCCTCCTCGGCTACTGCAAAGCGTGCCCCGACCCGGAGACCCACCCCAATGTCACGTGCCCCCGCCGCAGCGGCCACTTCGGCAACTTCGTCAACTTCAACTGCGCGTCGCAGACCGGCGAGTACAACCCGTTGGCCACGCTGTTTCTCTCCACGAACGACGACGCGATCCGGAACCTGTTCTCCACGAACACCCCCTTGGAGTACCCCCCCCGCTCGCTGCTCCTCTTCTTCGTCGCGTTCTACTGCCTCGCGATCATCACGTACGGCGTCGCGGTGCCGAGCGGGCTGTTCGTCCCCGCGATTTTGAGTGGTGCCACGTACGGGCGCCTCATGGGCGTCATGCTGACGCGGCACTTTGGCCCGGAGATGGTGGACGAGGGGCGCTACGCGCTCATTGGGGCCGCGTCCTTCCTGGGGGGGTCCATGCGCATGACGGTGAGGGGGGTGGAGAGAATTATTGTGTCGTTATTAATCTGATTTTTGTTTGGGTGGTTCATGCGCATGATGGTGAGGGAGGAGGGGTGCACGGAGGTCGCAGGACTTTACTCGAGATTTTAGAATTTACGCGTCTCGTTCAATCGATTGTATTTCTATACTCAACAGAAGAAAAGGTCCGCGCCCTTTTCGCAAATCATGCAATCTGTAAACTTTGCGCACGTGTTGTCGAGGCGTCACAAAACGATTTTGCTTGTCACAGATGAAGCTGCTCGTCGTCATTACTATCTGGTCGTGTGTTTGTTGGGACCTTCCTGTGGCACTGTACCCGGGCGTCAACGTGCTACGATCAACACTAAAGTTTGCGCCATCTGCGTGACAGTTCCCTGAGCGTGTCCGCTCCTTGGTTGTGCCAGTGTTTGTGCTAGTGAAAAGCTCGCCCTCAACGTCCGCTGATCGAAACCATCAATTTCAAAGAAGACGCGCTTTTCAGCACTACAGTCTTGAAACTGTTGACAAACAAAAAGTCAGCTACCCTGCGCGACTTGGTCTGGAAGAAGGCTTTGACAGGTCTTTGATGATCAGTCGACATCGGATATGCATTTAAGTGGGCCAACCAATTAAAGCGCCACGTGTCCCCTCCAGGTGTCGTTGTGCGTCATCTTGCTCGAGCTGACGGACCAGCTCAGCCTGCTGCCGCTCGTCATGTTTGTGCTCCTCATCTCCAAGTCCGTTGGCGACAAGTTCACCAAGGTGAGTTCTCCTTGTACAAAAACGCACACTGGCCAAGATTTGCGAGAAAATTATCTGGAGAGCTGCCTCATTTGGAGCACACCCCGCTGCCTGAGACTGACGCATCCATATGCATGGTTGTAATATCCCGTTTTTCTGAGCCCATACTACGTCCATGTATAAGTCGACTTGACCCTTTGAAAAGCTGTGCTGAACAGCGAAAACAAGGAAACGCGATTCGGAGTTCGCATAAGAGCGAAGTACAAAGTCGGCGTCAGAGCGCCAGCGGAACATGAACACAACGCAAATCCACAAAAGGAAAGACAATTGCTTCTTGTGGTAGGGCACACATAGACGAACTCACAAATGCCACACTCAAATTACGTTACAGACGCAACCACGTTCTGTCGCAGGGCATCTATGACGCACACATCCTGCTCAAGAAGGTGCCGTTCCTGGAGGAGAAGCCGGAGCACTACATGCGCAACATTACGGCCTACCAGGCCGCGTCCAAGAAGGTGCGCCGACGTCTCTTCGTGCTGGCGTTTCTGTTCGCATACAACCCAGAATGGTCCAACTGGTTGTCTGTCCGGAGACAGAGAGTTGCGTTTTCAAGGTTCTTTCCTATCAAGCGTAGAATGACTGCCTACAGGCTGCCTTGAAAGAGATGGGTTATTGACGAGGTGGGTTATTGACAGATAGACACAAGGATCCTCTGACTATACTACTGGTCCGAGCTTCCGGTGCTAATCAGCAATTCACTTAGCAATCTACGCATAAGGGAGTGGGGCGGCGGTTTCTGGATTATGTAAGAGAATTGGTGATCCCTTCATGTTGCGCTCTCTCGTGCTCCTGTGGGAAGTCTTGGTACAAGTGTCTTTGCCGCCGCTCTCTGGAAAGTTTCGCTTCGTTTGCCGTGCACAGGGTTGGAAAATGGACTTTGGGCAGCATGTTCAGCACCCTTATTAGACCCTTGCGGTGCGCGAGATGTCAAAAACGTCTTGGAATGTCGTTTCCTAGAACGCGTTGATAAGAATCCGCAGATGCATCCGTCCAACAACACAAGTCTGTGAAGAGGGCCAACCTGTCGTGCCCGGAAACTGTGCCGCAAATTCGTGTGGCGCCTTGTTTGCGGAGCCAGGGCAGCAGTTGCCAACCTGTTTGGAATCTCAAGTATTGACACTCGTATATATGCCAAGCTCTTGTCCGACCTTTTCTATGTGCAGTCGGTGACGCTGTCGCGCCTGGAGAAGGTGCGGCGCAGCACGCAGGTCCTCAGCAGCTCAACCCCTGCGGAAGTTTGAGAATAGACTCGTGACTATTTCATATCAACCAACGATTGAAAGGATCTATTCACCGAAGATCAGAATAAGTTCAACCATTTTTCTCGCAGTTGGTGACGCTGTTGCGCGTGGAGAAGGTGCGGCGCATCATGCAGGTCCTCAGCAGCTAGTGTCATCTCGTGCGAGAGATTGAGAATTGACTTCGTAGATTGTTGAGATCCTCTGACGAATTGAAGATGAAACAAACTCTAATCACCCTTTGTGTCCGCAGTTGGTGACGCTGTCACGCGTGGAGAAGGTGTGGCGCATATCGCAGGTCCTCAGCAGCCATTGCCAACCCGTGCGAAAGTTTGAAATTGGACATCTTATAGACCTCAAAAGCTCATGTTTCATCCACTCTTCTACACTTAGCTGATATCCGACCTTTTCTCTGTGCAGTTGGTGACGCTGTCGCGCGTGGAGAAGGTGCGGCGCATCATGCAGGTCCTGAGCAGTTGCCACCACAACAGTTTCCCGGTCATCGACCGCGCGGAGGGCGCCGAGGAGCACTTCAGCGGCCTCATCCTGCGGCACACGCTGCTCGTGCTGCTGACCGGCAAGCAGGACTTCCAGCGGAGCCCCAAGGTGGGCAGGGTTTTCCTTGACACTGTGATTTGCTTTATGACTCAAAAGTAACCACATGGTTTCTCAAGGTGTCAAGAGGAGGTGCAGAAAGGGAAGGGCATACACGAACTCGAGGAGTGTCTGATCTTTTAGTGTCGATACTGGAGGTTCGAGTCTTCACGGGTTCTGGGGAGTTGGGCTCAGAGTTTGAGGCTCGTTAGTTGCATAAGCCACGGTTCTTAGCGATGTCTCAATCTGGGTGCGAGATTCATCAAAGCCGACACATTGGTGGCGTTGGTCTGTTTGAGAGAATACCTTGAAGGGAATGCAGCTGGACTCACAAGGTTCGGGGGTGTGGCACCTAAGGGACCCAGGAGAGAAGAACAGCGGAGTTGTTTCATTCTCTGCAGTGCTGACATACGTTTCTTCTTCGACTTGCTTTGCTTTTCCACCCCTCCTCTGATCCCCACCCCTCAAAAGTAACCGCGGGGCCGTAAGCTGGTGCACATCTGCCGGCTGGATATGGTGACCATTAACTCTAACCATTGGCACTGGAAATCTGACGCTGCACAATTGGTCGCCTGGACACAGCAAGTGTCAATGACAACAATTGGCACCGCTAACCTAACCGCTGCCCACTAACCTGGTGCCGATTTGCAGCATCGACACTGCGACACGGCGAGTATAAGTGAAACTCACTGGCCGCTGATTCCGACATTACCCGTAACACTCTGCAGATCCCCCTCGAGGCGGTGAAGTGCACAATTCACTGGGGGCGTATCGGCGCAACAAATGTTCAACGCTTTTCAAACGCTTTTTGAATACTAGAACCCAAGAGCCTTGATGCACCAAGACCAGTAAACCTGCTTTGCTAACCCGGTGCAGATCCGCCGCCTGTACACCGTGATGGGCCCGTCTTATACTAACGCAGTTTGAAGCCGACAAAGTTAAAGCGTCAAATCGCTAACACCAGTAAACCTGCTTTCTGACACGTGCAGATCCGCCGCCTGGACACCGTGATGGGCACGATCCACGGGGGCCGCGTCGGCGCCGGCGCGGGCGGCCCGACACATGACACGTACAACGACTTTGCGAAGCCGGGGTCGGGCAAGATGCTGCGCGTGCAGGACGTGGCGCTGACGGAGGACGAGATGGAGCACTACATCGACCTCGCGCCGTTCCTTAACCCGGCGCCGTTTGTGGTGCAGGAGCACATGTCGCTGACCAAGGTGGGTTAGGCTTAACCCGCAGGGTTGTTTTGATCTGGTGCTTGAAATAAAGGCGGGGTTAAGAGACCCGGCGCCGTTCGTGGTGCAGGAGCACATGTCGCTGACCAAGGTGGGTTAGGGTTAACCCGCAGGGTTGGTTGGATTTGGTGGTTGAAATGAAGGCGGGGTAAGGAGACCCAGCGCCATTCGTGGTGCAGGAGCACATGTCGCTGACCAAGGTGGGTTAGGGTTAACGTGTGTTCGGTTGGTGACGGTGCCAGGACTGAAATAGGCGCTTTCATGCTCCGGACACGGTCATTGGAATCTCGAGGAGCCACAAGATGAGATAGAGCAGGAGCTTTGTAGGCTTTGCTGAGGAACAGGATTTACCTATGTCGGTTGATGTTTTTGGCTGGACCGATATCTGCGGGTCAATTAATGCATTTATGAAGCAGACCCTGCCTGAAAGCGGACAACCGAGAAAGCCGGACTCTCGAAGCTGCCCTTCTGCTAGGGCGGTTTGCAGACTCTTTTTAAGCGACTCTCAAAGACAGGAGCGTGTGTGTACTTTCCCGAGGCGAGCTCATGTAAACCACTTTGAATAAGCTTTGCCTAGGTTATCGTTATCCATCGACTATTGTCTCTGCAGGTATACAACCTGTTCCGGCAGCTCGGACGGCGCCACCTGGCGGTCATTCCTGCGCCGCAGCAGATCGTGGGCATCATCACACGCAAGGATCTCCTGCCTGAGCGGCTGGAGGCCTTGTTCCCGGAGGCGGTGCACCACCATCACCTGCAGTGACTGGGCCTTTTCGTTTCGCTCCCCTTAAAACGGGGCCTCCGTTATAAAGACATTGGGTAACAAGTCGGAAGACTTGGTAAAGCGCCAGCATAGGGCCATGGGCATGTATAGAATAAGAAGCTTCATTGCGGGCCACTTTGCAAAAGTTATATTTATCCGACGGCCGGAGCATTGAAAGACAGTTCGCCGCATAATGCATTTGTTTGTAAGATGAGGTCTTGGATGGCCCATGCGCTCAGTTGTTGCAACCTGGGTTGGTAAACGAACCATTGGCTTTGCTCTTGAAATTGTCGCAGTTGCAGCTGGGAGGTAAGAAACTTTACGAACCAGTGGGGTCCTGATTAGCCTGTCAAGTAAGCGACCGTTGTCAAAAGTTTAGCGACAAGATCATGCTAGCTCTACGGACAGCCAATGTCGCCGGATCGTGGACATCTTAAAGGTCACCTTTCACTTACTTTTGTTACCTTAGAGCGCTTGCTCAAAGTTGATGGTTGAATCTGCTACGTCGACATGGGCTACATTGTGTGAACCCGGCACACATGCACAATACGTATGTCCAATTGCATTTTCAATCGCATGTGCGCATGCTATCTGCAATCAATGTTGAGTGCAGCGCCTGCGGCTGCCGTACGTTCAGGATACGCGCGCGCTTTCAGAATATGTCTCGTATGTTGTATATATATTGACGCGGTCCACATGCACGATCGACGATCAAATTAGCTAGCTTGAATAGGTTATAGTAAGAGATTTGGATTAACATTGCATCAAGCATACCGGCCCTGCCGTTCCGAGTTGTAAATCTCAATGCTGCCCCAGCCAGGGGTTGAAAGTTGCTCGCTGGTCTTCTTATTCCGCCTGCCAAACTTGAATCTTACAAGTCCAATAAGAACTCTTTAAGTCGAAGTGCGCTTTGCACTCTGATCATCATGAAGGGCTGTACGACATATGGTCGTCTAAATCAAGCGTAACCTCTAATAGCTCGAACCGTAGGTGTATTGGAATTTCACTTTCAGCAAGTAGCGCATGCATGCCTGTGCCTCCTTGTACACGATGAACTCGTTGTATTGCAGGTAACTCTGCAGGGAGCGAGACTTGTCATCAACAAAAGGAAAGAACAGAGTATGTCAATGAAGCACATTCCGAAACCACTTGAAGTCATTTCTTAAATCGGGAAACGATTTCGTCAATGCACGGGCTTTCACTTGACCCCCAACGTGCAAAGCGCAGCCGAGACAGACTACCGTCCAGCAGAACGAGCTCAGTGCCTCGTTCCCCAAAGTTCTTCCACTCTCCGATAAATTATGCCAGACGGTCTTACGACTATCTGCACAATTTGGATACGTTCGTTTCCACAGGTCGATGATACACTCGGCTTGCATGCTGTTTCAAAAGCCGGAGAGCTCACCCGGCCGTTAGTTGTGTTTTTCGGGGTGCCCAGAGGGACCTTCGCTCCATTGGGCAAGAGCACGTCTTGTGCAGGATCGGGGGCGGTCTTGCCGATGCCTTTGGTGCTCATCTGCCCGTTTTCGAGCATATCTCCGGCCTCGTAGTTCGCCTCGAGGAGCTCGTACATATCCCCGAGCGCAACCTGCGGTGGGTAAAGGCAATGCGAAGGGGACGTGAGACTGTTTTGGGTTGCCTACAGAAATCGCATCAAGATTCGACGAGAGGGGCGATGAAAGAGCGATTGGAGGTACCTTAGGAAGCTGATAACAGTCGGAGGACGAAGAGAGCCAACGAATGGACCGACCGAAGGGTTTGAAACGGCCCAGCAGAGACTAGACCAGGGGAGCAATCAGAGAGTGGATAACATGATGATTCAGGGTCACGATCAGAGAGTCGAGCAGGAGCAATCGGACAGTGATCAATAGACATATTGGAGGACATAGACAAGGGGCTAACAACCCGAGATAGTTCAAGGCGGCGACTGCCTATGAGAGCCGTAACATAAGAGAATCTTGGCGTGCAAGTTGAACAGCATGCAAGCAACTTGCGACTCTTCATTTCAGGAACAAGTAGTTCGAGGCTGTGAGTCTATCTTCGGCGACGGTCACCCGTCTGAATCGAAACGAGACCTCCCCGTACATCAGTGTTGGCGCAACACGTACCTCTGCAAGGGCCAGGATGCCGGTTGGGTTGGTAGCGGAGGTGAAGCAGTAGTTGGCACTCTTGGACACCATGTCGGCGAAGTAGATGCCCTTGCCTGTGCCAAAAAGAAGCTGCGTCATCCCGTGTTCTTAACGAAATGTCAGAGGTTAACAGGCGCTCCGAGGTCCATCGCCATGAAAGGCGATCGAACTGCAATGCTGTCGACCGCAAGGTACGCGGTTGGATGAGGGTCGCTATTTCCGCGATCGTCAGAAGAAGGTTGGGATGCAAGAAACTCACCGAACATGTAGCCAGTCACCGGCGCCTCTGGCGGTGCAATGCGCAGACCTGTACAAAAAAGTATTAGTAGGGCGTTAAGAATATCAAAGAATACCTTAAAGAAAGAGTAAAACAAGAGGGAGTCAATGACGAAATACTCAATCAGCTATCAGGTCTAAAACAAACAGTTCCGGATATAAGAGAGCGGTTGTCTACCAAATCCAAACAAAATGTTCGGGTAGAAATGCCGTTACGGGATCCCGCGTCAGAGCAGATGATAGAGGTCTGAAGGCAAGGCGGATCAGAACCATACACTTGACGCACGAGATGCTGCCAAACGTCACAGGCAGCTTTCGTGATCCGATTTACTTGGTACTTGTATCCGAGAACCGCATCTACCAAGCAGGGACAGTGTCTCGCAGAGACAAATTCCTCAAACATTCTCATCATCAAGTGCACGAGCAGAGGTCAAGAATGCAATTCACCTTGAGAGAGGATGCCAGTCCAGTTGGTCAGCCGGGACCCGTGCCAGAGTAGCATGCGGTTATGGTTGTCGGAGTACTGCGGAGAAAGCGTATGCAACGGTCACTATGTCACTGTGCTCCAGAAGGTGCGCATCTGCGTTCGCTACTCGCTCATTCGCCTGATGAAAGGATAACAAGCGTAACACAGCAATCGCATTGATTAGTAAGAAGTCTCCAGCCTCGTGCGCCCAACAAAACGAGCGCCCAAACTGGTGCCTTGTAGTTAGAAGATCCGAGGAACAAAAGTATGCGACTTCTTACAGCGCGTATATAGAAAAGCAACCAGAGAGGCTACCCACCGGCTTGTACCGCTCCTCCTCGCTTTGTCTCCGGACCTTGAAGATCTGCTCCACCACCAGCTTGTACCCGCTGTGGGTATGCCCGTGCGTGTTCTGCACATACTTCCGCAGCTGCGAGGAAAGAGCGTCTCTCATTTGCAGAACAAGCAATTTACGCACAAGGCCGCGGAAGCAGCTAAGAGCTGACCAGTTTGGAAAACACGTTCTTCAGCACAGATCTCGGGTTCGTCACAACACAGCAATGCGCTGTTTGTTTCTCGAAAGGAAAGCTTTCGACAAACAAGGCAGATGCAAACCAAACAGATGCGAAACGTTCAAATGAGGAATCGAGAGGAAGGCTTTTAACGTTAGCGACTCAAGGGCTCTCTCCCTCTGCCCAAAGCCAGGTGGCAGCTTGATACCGGTGAAGCCCGGAATACGACCAGGGACGTAAGGAGCACCGTAAGGCGCTTTCAGCTCGACGTGTCTTTCTCTCGTTCGGCAAGAAAAGATCAGCGACTAATTCTGCAGAATCAAACTTCCTCCGTTTTGAAGCCCCGTAGGGAAGCGGCGAAGTTCGAAGTTAAAATGTCTCAAGCGCCCAAAACGAAGCGTTCTTCGGGAAAGGCTGGAGAAGGAGAAGCTTCGCACCATCTTGGCTTCTTCGCTGTCGTCGTCCACAGGCTCGAGGTCGCAATTCAATCGGTCGTAGTTTTGATCGGCAGGGTGGACCTGTTCGAAAAAGAGGAACCGAAGGTTTGTCCCACTGATTGAAGAGTGTGAGAAGTCAGTTCGACCAATGCGATGGCTTTCCAGTGACGTGGATACGAGAAGTACTGCTCTGGGCCTTTTCGCTGAAGGACAATTGTAAAGTCGTGTATCTGATACAGCGACAAGACGCTGAAGACGTGAGCAGTTTCAGGTCGACGCGGAAGCCAAGAGCCACTAACACACCGTCCCAGCCTAGCCCTGCAAGGTAGTACGCTTTGGACCCACTCGCTTCAAGAGCTTCGCAGGTATGCATTGACTGGTGACGGCTGTACGCATACCAAATCGCTGGACACCGTCGAATACTTTGAGCAGGGCCATTCGAGATTGCCAGCAGAAGCTAGCCTTGCCCTGAGCAACGACTACCGGTATATCAAGCGCGCCTGGTGAGACTCGAATAAATAGTACAGTGTCTATGACGTGGTGCTCACGTCAGAGGCCTCGCCGTCTCCTCCGAGCAGCTTGGTGGCCAACTCAATCTCCGCTAAGGCCTCAACCTGCAAGTCGGACATTGAGCTGACGTCAGAAACACGGGTCTTTATGATTCGAAACGCTCATCGAGTACTTAACCAACTTATCTCTTTTCGTCATCTTCCGTCTACCTGCGACGAGCGATACTTGAAGGCACAACATCTGCGCCGTGCGGTCCTGCTTACCTGCTTCGAATTTAGATGCAAGCAGGGGGAACACAGGGGACTTGACTATGATGTACGTACGTTGCCAGCAGCACGTGATTGATGACCATGCAGGGTGGAGTTTAATGATACGAACGAGGCAACCCACCATTTCTAGCTTCTTCTTGAGCATTGCCGGCGATTTGATCACATAGTCACCTGCAGTCGACGGATAGCAATTTAAGACTCGTCCTGATCCAACCTTGTGCCATGCAATCGGAGCGCAATCTGCAAGTCAGGCTTAGCTTCTCAATCGTCCTTCGTGTTGCTTCGTTAAGCAGAAAAACGGCTGCTTTCAAAGCAAGGAAACATTACATTAGAAGGGCGCCTCACTCATTTTCTTGAAGCCGAAGTCGTGTGGAATGACGGTGTAAAACTCGCTGTAAAACAGGAACAATCGTATCAGACTTGGAAGCATCATCTTTCAAAAGAGCAACATATTCATCCTCTTCGACTTCCAGTGGATGTAACTCTAGGTAAGACTATTAATGGATGTTCGCCCTAGGAATTCGCCAGACAACAATCCCTCCAGCTGAGACACTTACCTGCTTAACTCAGCAAGCTTGTTGTTCTGCTTGCTTTCCATGGCAGCGGATATCTTTTTCAGCACTTCATAGCCCCGCATGATCGTCTTCTTGCTCAACTTTCCTAGCGGCATCTTCCGAGCATCGTAACCTGCGCGATAACAGTGGGAGAGAGCTTCCCTCACAAATACGGGAAGACTGGTGTTTTTGTCGCATGCCAAATTTGAATTTGACTTCAGATTTGTGACAATATGCTTACAAGAGGGGCAACATCCTCCAAGCAGGCCCTTGTCGCCCAGGCCTTCAGGACAGGCGAGTGTAGCAGAGAGCTTCGATGAATGCTTTGTTCATTGGTCGGAGTGACCGAAACTGGGGGCTGCGACCGTTCGTTGGAGTGGAACGATTTTTTTCTTGCCGGACTTCACCGTAAAGAAGAGCAACGTACAGGGAACAGTAGTCCAACACCTTGAGACGAAGGTCTTAGAAGAAGTCGCGAGGGGGAGTGGTCGTAAGCGTACCTATCTCGACCATCTGCTGGCTCATCATGTCAAGGTTGCAGATCAACTCAATGAGTTCGCGAACTCTAGAGTCCAACTTCGACTCCGCGGACTTGACTGGTGCTTTGCTTTTCCCCTTGTCCTTCTCGCTTAGTGCCTGCAGGAGACAAGACCGCACATGAGTCAAGAGGTTCGATATACGCCAAATGTCTAAAGAAGTCGAAGACCACGAAACGAGAGAAGTTGCCCGACTTGAAGAGCAAGGCTTGCGAGCAGGTTCAGGAGTTCCCAAAGACGAAAGACGTCTGTATCTGGGAAAATCAAAAGTGGGGGGCACCGAAAAAAATGAACCAACCTTCAGCTTTTCGTCCTGCTCATCTTCGGGCCCATCGTAGTCCATCTCTAGCCTGCAGGCACGAAGATTCTAGTAAGTACGTCCACCTGAGAAGAGAAAGCGATCGAACCCTCTGGAAACGAGTTTCAACATAGTTTCAACATTGAAGTTTTTTTCTCAATCATGTGAGCGGCTCAAAGTGGAAACTTCTTGATGATAGCATCAACAACTCTTATGAATAAGCTTCCGTTTTCCCATGTTCAGCCTTACCAGGTGTATTTGCCTGGGACGGCAGCAAAGTCATGTCTTGCGGACCAGTAGTTCTTGGTTTTCTCGAAGAACTTCTTTTCAAACTCGCGAATGGCGCCCTCCTGTTCCAGAAAAAAAGCATGGGTCCTTCGAGATGGAACGAACGCCGAACCTCAAAGGAATCGCAAGTCCACCCCCATGTCTGATTGAGTTTGTAACTCAGAAGGTGCGTCTTTACATTGGTGCGGGACTGGATACATTTGCAAGACCATCACGGAGCCAACTGCAACATCAGCGACAGGGTCCGTTCTTCAAGAACGTGCCCAGCTTCGATGGTTGAAACGCATCAATGTCGTGAAACGGACATAGCTTACCTTGTCATAGCCAGACTGCAGCTTGTTTTGCCCAGGAACGCCAACTCTTCCCCAGCTGCAAAGCAGGCCTTCATCAGGAGGATGGGCGCTTTCGGAAGACTCACACATGGAACTCTAGTCAACCATTATCTTGGTACAACAAACTTACTGAGAGGCATTGGTGAGAAACTTGACAATCTTAGCTCGTGTCCTTGAATGCAGATACATTTGAAAGAATCTGCACACAGAGCTGCCATGTGGAAGTGCAGCGATGCATGCAGCAGAGGCAGGCTAACAGGGTGAGGGAGCACTCACCGAGTCCACACAGAATAGCTCTTGCCACTGTCAGACTCTGTAGAGAAGAGCAATCGAGAAGTGACATGTGAAGAACGTTTGGCATAGCAATCTGATTATAGGCGGTTCGATTGAAGCAGCATCAACACCTTGCAAGCAAACGTGGTTCACAACATTTTATCCTGCAAACACGCTTACAAGCTCACTGATAGGCCAGATTCAACGCGCTCACCAAGGACTTGTATGACGTAAAACTTGTTGTTGTTTGCTCCAACGTTGGTCTGGTTTAGCATGCAGTCAAAAACCTCCTCCCCATCTGAAAGGACATGATGGCTCCTCTGCACGTGATCTGGCAGATGCTTGTCCAAGACGGCTCGCCCTGCAGAGAAATACGCTTCTCGTTGTGATCCCTACAGCCAGCAAGAGGCTTTGTGAAGACCCCAAGAAAAGGCCTTGCCGCAACCTTATAGTGGCCTTCTCAATTGGTTATGTGTCGAAGTCTTGTTAATTACAGTTGCCTATTTGGCTGGTCCAACGTCTTCAGAATCTTGTAAGCTGGAAGTGCTGACCAGGCGCCAAAAATAAGGTCTTTAGAATGTCAATCTTAATGAAGTCCTTTGAAACTAGTAAAGTTCCAACGTTTTCTCGGATTTGATAGAAGAAAGAGGTCAACGCAAATCTGCAAAATGAAAGGAAGGAAAAGTACGACCAACGTTAGATATGCATCAAGAAGTTCATGCTTCATTTCAATTTTCAGCAGTGGCAGAGGACGTATTGCATAAGATCAGAGAGGACGCACACCTTGACCCACATTGGGTTTCCATGAAAGTCTATTAGTACAGGCCCTATTCAATTTCAAACTCAATGGAAGATGCAGTGCCAGAGAGCAGACAATTGAAGGCAGGGATTCAAAATTTCAGAGCAGATTGATGGTACCTTTCTTTGTAGCAGTGACCATCCTCTCTTCCTCCTCTTCTTCCTCCTCGGGCTCGGGCTCAGGCTCAGGCTCAGGCTCTTTGTTCTTCCCCCTTTTTGAAGCCCTCCCTGGTTTAGCGGCTTCCTCATCCTTCGCAGCTGCAGCTGCTTTTCTTTTCCCCTTGTCTCCCTGTTGGGGGCCATCCAAGCTCGCTGTGGCCCCTGCTGCAGCAGCTGTGCTTCCATCAGCCTCCTCCAATCGAGCAACCTGCGACCATACACAAGCACAATGTTTGTTCAAAAAGGCCTTCTTTGTGGTGTGAGTTTTGCTTCAGTCAAGAGTTGAAGAAATGGGTGCACCAGCCTGTGATGATGCCTTGATCACTGGGTTTGCCTTGTGGTTCCATTGTCACTAACACCTGGCTGGTGGTGTAGAAGCAAATGCAAACTAACATCAGCTCAGAGCTGAATAATGATGCTCTTGTGCACAGGGCTCTTACCAATGCAGCTTTTAATCCTGTTGTGTCCAGGTTCCTCTGCGCCAATTCTGCACGGAGTTCCTTGACAGTCATTTTGGCTGCCATCTTGAAGAACAATGCAGGATATGTAGAGGCAATTGGAGTGAAAGATTGACGGAAGCTTGTGCCGTGGCACTTGTTTGTCCAGGAGCTGATTGGACAAAGCCTCGGCCTCAAACTTTGCATCTACAAGGACATTGGGCAGCCATTTGAGAGAATCACTTCTTTCAAAGCTGGAACAGCCTACTGATCCAGCTGATGCCTTTGATCACACCCGTCACAGGCCAAAGCAGCTCCCTTTCTTGGCCTTCTGGCACTGCAAGAATGGAGCCAGGGAGCAACTTTTCCTTTCTTTCTAGTGCAGCGGGTTAACGTGGAAGTTCCGCTTAACGTGTCAACCGGACGGGTTCAAGAGCGAGGTTAAAACATTCTTGGAATTCTGCTCTTCAACGTCTCGTGACTGGCTCGGTATGAATGTTGAACGGCGTTGAAGCGGGACACGGTTAGGTTATTAGCATAACCAACTCTGTACAAAGGCTGGGTTTAGGCTACGAAGTTTAACCAGATAAACCCTTCTGCATGCTGAGCACTCGCAAGTTTCTGCTCGACTCTCAAAAGTTTTTTGAGCATCCTGTGGAAGGGGCCAGAAAAGGAGGCGTTTTCTGCCCGCCAGCAGCCATGGCTTCTTTGGAGCAGCTCTTAAGTTCTGTTCAGGGGTTGCATGACACCCCGGAGCACCTTGAGACTGCGCGGACGCAACTCAAGCAGGCGGAGGAGATGCTCGCCAAGAGCGGCGCCGACAAACTCAATGTCGCCCTTAGCCATCTGGATCCATCTAGATACTCCCTGGCATGGCTTTTCCTATTGTAAGTTCGCAGCCCCACTTCTGGAAGGAGGTGGCGGATGTGTCTTTCCCACCACCGCAAAAAGGAATTGTCTAAACTTTTTTTGGACCTCTCAATTCATTGGCATCACGAATACAGCGTGGTCCTTCAAATGCTCAACAATTCAGAGGGTAGGACTGATTCCTAGTGAGGTGTATATGTAGGTTCAGCAAAGGGAAAAGTTACACGTTCAACTATAGAGGACTTTCAACGTCTTGTGAAGCACAAGAATGCAGCCCGACGTCGTTCACTGTGTCGTTAAGATCGCTCATGCGCTAGGGATTGACAATCTATGACGTACTGTGAAGGGTTTCCTTTCAGCCAGCCATCTTGAAGAAGACCCTGACTTTTGGATTTGACCTACTCTGTTTCGAGAGGCCAACATTTGTGTTGATCGGTTTGTTTGTTTCACTACATGTTAATGGGGGAATTGCTGGAGGTGAAGATTGACGGTGTCTATGCTTTTGCAGGGATGCCCAACAAGGGGTGACTCAGCCTGACAAGGCTGATGCCTTCATCAACCGCTGCACGGCTTTCCTCAAAGCTTGCCACCAGGACCAGATCAGGATTGCTGTCGAAAAATGTAGGTCCACCTTAGAAGGTTGTTGATAGTTGTGCTTAATGCTGTATTGTAGGGCGTGTGTCCAACCCTGTCTGGATACCCCTGCTCTCTCATGACAATTATCTGAACCATCTGGTTCTTGATCAACTTCCCATCCCCCACAATCTGAAACAATCTGGACATGTACAATAATCATGAGATCAAACATGGCAGCTTCAGCACTAGTGCACCCTTCTTGACGCATCCACTGAAGGGGATGGTGGTGAGTTGACAACCAAGGTTTTCATCTTTTTCTGCAGTCAACTCGGTGTGCTTCAAGCTGAAGGACTGCGTCTTAGTCCTGAACCAGCCCGCCCGTGGCGTCCTCCCCCTCCGCACCGCCATCAAGAAACTGCAGCCCACATCAGAGCACCTGACACCGCAGCACGCCGACTTCCTTCTCCTTGTCGTCCTTTCAAAGATCTACAATGCGGGGCTGCCGGTGCTAGCTGAGGAAATCTTTGAGGTGGACGCCAAAAAGACGGGGATCGCGCCGCGGGACTTCTTGCTGTACTGCTACTACGGGTATGGCTCATCCATGCCATGAGCTTATAACCATTTCTGCAGTCATGTTCCAGCTTGGTGGATGTTTTACATGGAACAGCACCTACCTTTTAGATAGGAGATTGGTTTCTGCTTGTGAAAAAAGGGGCCACTGTCAGCGGTTTCTGTATCATTGTTGTAATTCCTTAGCTATGTCCGGCTTTCTGGTCCAGAAGGGCCCAACATACATCAGTTTGAGGACAGTGAAACGTGGTCACTGATTGGTTGCAATATCCTCTTGCGTTCAGGGGGATGGTCTACATCGGCATGAAGAGATTCAAGAAAGCGTTGGAACTTTTAGGCCATGTAAGTGTCAGCCATTGAGGAGAGACGTAACAGGAGGCTTGAGGTGCATCTGACGTGCAAGCTTCCTGCTGAATTCCGTCAAAGGGCAAGCAATAAATTAGCTTCTTCAAAAGTTGTTGGCCGGTAGAATCTTGGCTGAGTCTGCCAGCTGTCATTGTCCCGAAGGCTGGCTGGCGTGCAGCACATCAAGCTGCGGTAACATTATGCGCAGGCTATATCAGCACCTGCTCAAGTTCTGAACGCCATTACACTGGAGGCGTACAAGAAGTTCGTGGTTGTTCACTTGCTCGTTGACGGCCAGGTAAGGTCCAATCCCCCTTGGACTCCATCAGAATTCTGGGAAGAGCTCCTTCTGTTTTGGTTGCTCTCTGCTCGCACTTGCATTTTGTTGCAACTGGATAGGTTCCTCAGGCTGTAACGCTTGCGAGGTATGTAATTGCGATGGCATCTGTTTAACGTGCGCAGCTTCGCTCACCTGACCCGAGTCTTCCTGGCCCTTGCAGCTCCCTACCTTTCAAAAATACACCCCAACAATCGTGCAGAAGCTTCTGAAAAGTAATAGTCAGGTAAGCATAGTCTGCTTCATTGCCGTTGGAGCTTCAGCTGTCAACTAAAGTGAACCGTCCTCCTGTGATGTTGCAATCACACATAAGCACCAATGTGCGGTCGAGGACCTTTTCTTGAAGACTGAGCTGTGGCCAAAACTCGCTACAATGCGCATGGGTAGGTAACGGCAAATGCACACGGAAGGAGTCACTCCCAGATGCAAGCCTGCAGGCCTCTTGGAACTGCAAGCCGATCAAATCCGAATGGATTTTTCAAAGGATTTGCCAGCTCAGATTTTGATGCATCTGAACGTCTTCTGCAGCCTTACATCGACCTCGGAAATGCATATGCGACACGGAGCGTGGGGGATCTGAAGAAGTGTATACAAACGAACGAGAATGTCTACAAAACCGTAAGCTGCGAGGCCTCTCTTTGTCTTCAATCCTTCTTCATATGGATTAGTTCTAGAACGCCGCAACATCATTTCTGGTCAAAATAGCGGCCTGCAAGATTCCGTGAATCGACGTCCCTTCAATTGGACGAATAGTCCAGGGGAGGCGATTTGGCTGCCCTTACGAGTGACTCTGAACAAACCAGTCTTGATCCTTTTGACGGACCCTCTGTAAGGATTTGTGAAGCCAAGAAGATCTGCAACCTTCGAAAAGGACGTTTGGCCGCGTATAGACTGGTGCTCGACTCAACCAATGAAAGCCAGTCGTTGCATAAAATGTTGAATATATTCAATCCCTTAGTGGTAACGTGCCAAGAGTCGGTGAAGAGGACCTTGCGTACGGACAGGAGGTAGCGGAAGGTTTTGATTACTTCGAAACGCCGTCGGGTCTGGTAAACGTTTCCTTCGTTCGTCCAAGTCGCTTCACCTTGTCATTTTCTCCTCTCAGATTCCCGGACCGGAGGGTAGTCGGAAGATAGACCACCAACGGATATTGCGTGTTCAGCTGAAGTCGAGGGACTGACAAGCGCGAAATTGTTTCGGTTGTACCAGAGACAGACGAAGTTTGAAGTCAATTTTGTTAAAATGGGCTAATTCGCTGCGCAGGATACGAACCTGGGCCTGGTGAAGCAGCTGATTCCGTCGCTGTACAAGCGGAACATCCAGCGGCTGACGCAGACGTACCTCACGCTGTCGCTCAAGGACATTGCGGAAGCCGTCGAGCTGGAGGGGCCCAAGGAGGCCGAGCTGCACGTGCTGCGTATGGTGAGGCACACAGGGAATAAGAAGTACACCGTCTGTCAAGCATAACCCACCCTGCTTTCATGACCTAGGTTAACCAGCAGTTCATCTCTGGATGGTGAGGCACGCAGCAAACGACAGAGGCTCGCTTTTAGATCATCCAAAACCCACCCTGAAGGCACAGCTAACCACTCTGAAAGGTACAGTTACTGTTACCCGCGGTTCATCCATATGGTGATGCACGCAGGAAGCGACATAAACTCGCCTTCTGATGATTCAATCCAACCTGGAATCACAACTAACATCCTAAAGTCATAGTTAATGTCACTCGCAAAGCACCCCTGGCCAACGCTGTCCTTACTCAAGAGGTACTGTCTTTGCAGTCCAGTCGCAAAGTGACAGAATCTCTGAATATTTAGGCAGCTAAAAACAAAACCCCTAAGATAACCAGGCCTCCTGATACGTTTGGTTAGAGCGCTTTCTTGACCTACACCAATGACTTGTGGAGCATCTCGCTCAGCCCCAGGCCTGCTGCCTGGCCACAAGTCCGCCTCTCGTTCACAAGTCCCGCTCACATAACAGAAGTGCGCGCGAAGCAACCTGTAGCTGCGGATTCGGGTTGGCCTGAAACGGCCGTAAAGAACCAAGTCCTAATTCGGCGACTGAGAAGCCCGTCCGCCGTCGCCCCCGTCGCCACAGTCAAGATTGTCTTGGAGTATTCAAGGCGACATACGAGCCAAAATCACAGCCTTGTGGGCGCCTTGAAAGCCATCCGGGTTCTTTGCTGACGCCTTTTTCAACGTGGATTGGCCGTTGTGCGCAGATCGAGGAGGGGGAGATATTCGCGGAGATCAACCAGAAGGACGGCATGGTCAGTTTCCGGGAGGACCCCGAGGAGTACAACTCGGTCGAGATGGTCAACCAGCTGGACGCGGAGATGCAGGGGTGAGTCTTTGCTCATCTTTTCTCCCGTCTTTATCCCTCTCTTCCTCTACTCGATTCTCTCCCTTCCTTCCCCTTCTTCTCTTTTCCGTCTTTTTTCGCTTCTTTGCCCCTCCTTTTGCCCTTTCTATTGAATGCGGAACGGGTAATCTGTGTCGTCGTCACGAACGAAGCTGTCGAGGCCATGAGCGACTTGCCAGCAGCGGTTACAACGTGTTAGAATGGGGGCAGAGGCCTTCTAAGTGCCTACGAAAGCACGACGGAGCTTGGGCTGAAGAAGTGGACGCTGTCGAGACTAGACGAGATCCCTCGGAGACGGGTGGATGTGTCAAGTTGGGGCGAAATCGCCTGCATCAAGCCTGACATGCAAAGGGATGATCAGCGCAGAACAAGGACTCGAAGCACGCTTTTGCCTTCAAGCGGCCGGGTGTCCCTCTGCTTGCTTACTCGCACTCCTTCGCAGAAGGATTTCTGTCATAATTTTGAGAAGTTTTCTCATGCTGAGTTGGTCCTTCAGTTGGTCGTTAATACCCTCATCATAAAGTCCCGCTGACTAGAAGCGAAGCCAGCCTCAATGAAAGGCAGGTCGGTTAGTATCGAATCATCTATCGACGTCCGTCAGTCCCTACTATCAGCACAAACCTACAATCTGGCCGTCTAATGTCTTCGTTGATTGTTGCAGCATGATCAAGCTTGCAAAGAAGGTGGCAGCAATTGACGAGCAGGTTTCGACGGACAAGGCCTACCTGGGAAAGGTACGTACCGGAATCGTTTTTGAGTTGCACAGGTGATTGCTCCTTGCATTGCTTGCTAATCACAAGCATGTGAGATCCTCGTGCCTTTGCAAAGTGTCTTTACTTTCAGAAACTCCAAAGAGATGCGTCAGCTGACGTGAAATCAACCGTTCCCGTCAACGAGAGAAGTATTGCTCACCGCTAGTATCTGGTTTATGCAGATCAATCTGAAAGAGAGGCACAGTCGATTCGGAGAAGAGGACTACGAGATAGGCAGTCAAAGAATGTTTGTTGAACCAACTTACTAGAAGGTCTGGGATGGCCGGACTCCGTTCGATGCACAGAATTACATTACGTTTGATTTCCAAATGATTACTTCATTCAACAAGGTTCTGGTCAGATCACCGGGGTATCATTTCAATGACTTGCACAATTCCGCACACATGTGTAATGCTTGTACGTACTACGTATCCGAGGCGATGCATGACCTTATGCCGTCTACGTTTGTGCGACGTTAGTATGAGTCCCGCGGTCTGGTCCTTACGTTTCCCGTACATGTAAAGATCACGATCATGCCTGCCAGGCCTCATGAGGCCTAGCTGGCAGGCATGCATCGATGCGTCTGCCTCACGAGGCTTGATTGGCCCGAAGTCGAATATATATTCGGAAGGTGCGGTTGCAAAGCAAAGATTTGAGAGGCGGTGTCAATTCGGCACATAATTCACGTACACAGCACCGGTGCAAATTGAATCATCTTATAGTGCAACGTCCATTATGGTATAATTTCCAGTAATTTCCAATAATTTCATCATAACGCCCTTAGTCTCGTTCACCCATTGAGCACGGTCACTCAGCCGTCACTGCTCCGAGATGATTGTTAATCAGCAACCATCGATCGGCTGAGCTGCATGTGTCCAATCCTAATCCGGCAGAACAACATGACAAATTAGGATCATGCACCCTTTCAGTGAGACCACGATCGTTTGCATGCGAGACTCGTCTGATCAAAGTATAGAACCGTGTAGGTCGGTTTGATTCAGTGACTTGCTTCAGGCACTGGCAATTAAGAGTTGTTCGTGGCATGCGCCGCGCGGTGCTCCGCATGGCGGCCGGCCGGAATTCCGTTAACAAATAAGAATTCCGTTGTTAACACAGGGCAACGGGTTACCGCGGTGACTCTGCACGCACCGTTGACAAGGCTGGGCGGTCGGAAGGGCGCCTCCATTCAAAAATGTCCAGCTCTTTTATGTAGACTCTAGTACGTAGCCGCGACTTATGATTCCAACACCTTGACCTGAGCCAGAATCGTTCCATTCGATCCGGCTACTTGAGGAAAAACTTGTAGCTGAAGAGGCCTTCCCCGGCTCCCGACCCGCTGAGTGTGGTAATCTCCACGCTGCCCTTCGCCTTTTCGTACTGGCCCGCCCCACCAATGATGGCGACCACTTGCGTGTTCTTGCTCGTGTAGATGCCCTGTCATCAAGCGAAAGTAGACGCAGTGAGGCGAGGGAACGGGCGCTGCCCTTCTTAGAAACGAGATTAGCGGCGAGGCTGATGAGGTAAGCGTGTGGATACTCTTTGGCTCGCTTTCAATAATGTGCGGGAGAAAGGAAATTTGGTCGAGTCCGGCTCCTTTGACAGACTCGGCTTGTTATCAGGTTTGTCAAGCAGAAATATGGCCTCTCATACTCTTGGCTGTGCCTTGACCTGAACACACGACGGTTGCACCGTTCGAAAAGCGGCGTTCGTGGCACTTGGTGTTCAGACCTTGCGAAGCTCTCAATCGGCAGACGCGGTTCCGTTCTCAGTCCGTTCCGTTCTTCTTTTATTGAAATATGTCCGGGGCATCTTGTCGGAATAGGCCTCGAGTTTTTCCTTGGAGATCACGTGTGCACGTAGGCGCGTCACGAACAATGTTTTAGGGGACCGGGGCGACTCAAAGTGCAGAACGGAAGAGCCAACGCGGAGAATCGCAACGCAAAAAAGAAGACCAAAGGAAGTGGAGTGAAACGGAACACTGAAAAGACTCACGTAGATGACGAGATAATCGGCGCCGATGTGGATCGTGTCGAGGCAGATGAGCTCGAACTTGCCGTCGTCGAGAGGTCCCACCAGGTACACGCACGTCCCAATGTCGAACCCGATGGCCGTCGAGTTGTCGCTGGTGCTGAACAGGTTGTTCCTGCAATGCAAACAAGCAACCCGGTAAGGAGGGGCTTGTTTCTGTGATGAAGCGTTTCCAGATTTGGCTGTTGCCTTGGGCGAACGAGTGCGTTTTGCACAGAGGGGCAGCGGTGCAGGACGGGAGAGCATCACTCCAGAACTAGTAGACTTGAAAAAGTCTGAACCGAAGACTACGAACTAGTCGACAGATCGTTCCGCCTTGAGACAATGGAGGAAGACGACGTGATGAGACGGTTCCTGGCGGTTCGCTTCGAGACTCTTCTCGAGGGCCTTGACTCATTCGTTCGGATGCTTTCTCAAGTCTGTACGATCTTTTGAGGTAGTTCCGCAAGGATTCCGAGCTGAAAGAAAGCATAGAATGGGAGATTGACAAGGACTAAGAGGACGGCTGACCTGAAGATGAGGAGAGCCCCGGCGGCCTGGGACGTCTCCGAGTTCTGGATCTCCCTCACCTCAAAACTGGCAGGGCTGCGGAATGAAAAGCACACGTTTAGGATACTCGGAACCAGAGCAAAATTTGAGGTAAAATTTACAGTGAACTGATTCAACCTGAAGCCGGATTTGCCCGCAAACATGCCAGATGCATGGGAATAAAAGTGGAGAGCCAGTTTGTATGGAGTTAGATTGACCTCCAAACGGAACGAAGCTGCTGATTGCGGAGCTTGAAGACTTGCGCACTGGTTGGACGCTTCGAAACTGGATTCGATGGGATCAAGGAATACAGCTGCTCAAAGGACTGGATCCTTGTGGCGCGTTCGACGATACACGTTGACCGGCCTGACGTTGGCACCGCGCGCTTCGTAAGTGGCACAAACCAGACAATAACACGGCGTCCCAAAAGCCGACAGGTAGTGCTGTCAGGTCGCCAAACGCTAAGGCGTTGCGAACTGCAAGGAGCCCGAAAACAATCTGCCAATCCCTCTTGGACGACAAGGGTAATCTGTAGATTTGAAATTTTCTTCCGTGTCACCAAGACTCACCCCTGGCTGGAGGGCAGAACCGGGGGGATCCCCTCGGTGGCCAGCAACTGGTCCTTGGAGTACTGGGCAGTGTTGGGCTGGGGAAAGGGGCTCGGGGCAACGGTGTAAATCTGCACAAATGGGGATCCGTAGCTTTAAGATAAGCCGTACCGAAGCCTTACTGGAAGCCGTATGCAAATGAGGCCAGGTGTGATTGGCAGCATCGAGACGCTGAAGCTTACGCAAGTCGAGCAGTAGAGTCATCAGCAGCTCAACAGGCTTAGGAAGAATGGAGCAGGAAACAGAGGCCAAGCAGACCCACTGAGGCGAACTCAAAGTGGAGAAAAAGACGGTCGATGCTTCAGGCTGAGTGAACATGAAGGGCAGATAATGCTTCCGCTGCCAAAACCAAGATGGAAGACGATTGAGCAAGGAGCCCAAAATGGAAAGATGTGGAAAACCGACCTGGTACTGGAAATCTCCGAAGGCACCCCCCATGTCGCTGGTGCTGATGGTGGTCAGAACGATGCGCCCGCGCGCGCCGCTGTAGATTCCGTACCCGCCGGTCACTTCGAGGTCGGCCACGTTGGCGCTCGTCAGCTTGCCCTGCACGAGGGAAAGGGACACTCGCTGACGTCAGACGTGCTGACGTCGAAGTACCTGGTGACGTTGTAAGAGCTCGTCTTGCTGCGTGCAAACGGCACCTAAGGGCAAAGCAGACGGCTAAAGAACAGGATTATGAGAGTTGCGGTAGTCTCGGGAGGAGATGCAACCCGTACATTGCATACCCGTTGAGAAAAGTAGCAGAATTTGATGTACGGAGAGCAAAGCAGATTGGTATACGGCTCCGGGATGTGGTTCTAAAAAAGGTAATGCATATTTCTGTGATGTGAAATCACAAAAGGAGACATGACGCGTTTCTTCTCGAGTACAGCGGCTAAGGAGCTGAAACCAACGACTCTGTTCGAAACTCGGCTTAAAGCTAACGGAGAAAGGCGTGAGATTCGTACCGCAGCAGTGATGAGGTCCGCGCCCAAGTGGATGCTGTAGAAGCAGAGGCCCTCAAAAGTCTGGTCGGCTTGGAGCCCGACGGAGTAGGCGCACGAACCAAGCGTGTAACCGATGGTGGTGCCATCTAGAGAACGCACTTCATTCCTGCAGTCATAGAGACGAAAACGCTGTGATTGGAGAAAGGCTCAAGACATTTCCCTCGAATCATGGACATTCGGGTTTCGTTATGTTCATGATTATGACCTGAAGAAAAAGACGGGGTTGCAAAGAGCTCAGGAAAACCAATGTTACTGCCGTCTCGGATTGGGTGATCCCAACAGGTTTCAGGAGCGTTTTTGCTCACATGAGCAAGAAGCTCGCTTTGAGTGACTAGCTATCAATGCCTGAACCTAGTCAAGCAGTTCTTTGCATTTCTCATACTCTCTGATCTGTTGCAATTGATGAACGGCCTGCTATTGTCAGTAGTACGTTAGAAGCTGAAGTTTCTAGGCTTCCAGTGGGAAAGTCAGAACCATAGGTTGGATTGGTTTGCCAGTCACGTATAATTGGCGTTTGACACTAGGATTGAAAGCAGAGCAGGGGCTTACCTGAACTTGAGGACTGTGCCAGGGACAGTGGGGTCACCGACGATTGTCTGGGTAGCCTCTGTGGCATACTCGATGAATTGGAGAGAAGGGGTCCTGTATGAAAAGGGTAGAATAACTCCAATGAGCCAGTTTGACTTTACTGTAGTCCCTCAATGCTGTCGTGCACACGTTTTCAACAGTGGCCCATCAATGTTGCTCCTATCACGAAGAAATTGCACACGGACTGGGAGTTTGTCTAATCAAAGCAAGAGAAGCTAACGCAAGAGAACCTCTTACAACTGAATTAGCAGCTCCCTTGCAAGCACATTGCCTGTTGAACGATTCAGATTGGTTCAAACTGCTCACAAAGACGTTGCCTGCAGCTCAATACTCTTAACAACGGCAACGGCTGAAAATTCTCAATAAATTGTCACAATGCTGGGCCCTAGGACCTCATCTTGAGCCTAAAAGTTTTAGAAGACCCTCGAGGCGTCAGTAATGAGAAGACGGACGTGCTGTTCAGAGTCTCATCATACAGTCGAGTCCCGATGCAGCTCTATCCACTTCCACTACCAAAGCTAAGCTACGTGAGGCTTGAATGCACAAGACGCTCTTGTATACTATCCTTGCATGAACATCTGTCTTGGGACAGTCAGAGAGTGAGCCAACCCTTCAATTTTGTACGAAAGGAACCATAAGCTGCACAGACCACACAATCTGAGACCCTCATACTGCATTCCGCCCTGCAACAAGTCAAGCGCAGTGAAACCCAACAAGCAGACAAGTTAATCAAAGAAGCAAACAATGTCCCCTTATTGCACGACACCTCACCCCGGCAGTGTGTTGGACCCCCCATGAATCGCAGGGCAGGCGACATTGGCCTGCGGCGAACTCGAACACCCCCCGGGGCAGCACTCAAAGAAGTCCCCGCTCACAGAGTAGCACGCGTTGGGGTTCACGGAATTAGAACCGGTGTTGCAGTTGCTGCCAGCCGCGAGGCACACGTGGCTCACGGCCGCAACCAGGAGCAGAGCGAGCAGCACGGAGCGCGCCATTGTTGCAGAGTGCTTGGGAAGGAATCGGTTGCGGCTGTAGTGGAAGTGCCGCCTCAATGCGGGCTCGCAACAGCTGCCGGTGAGGTCAATGCCGGGCCGCAAAACTGTGGACGGGACAAGTGCGGCCGTATGGATACTGCTCAGCTGGATTAGGTAGGTACTCATGCAATGGTATCAGAAAAGCTACGCAGACGTAGGTACCCCGTACTCTTGTAGGTGCCTTGACGAAAGGTATTCACCTTAAACCTACCGGTACCTGCCTACCTGTCTTGGTCCCTTGTACAGTACCTAACGGTATTCCTGAAAGTCGATATGGCTATCACAACGATCACTACCTTAGAATCTATGCAATTCTGTCGTTGTCGGCAAGACAAAACACGCATGGGGTTTGTTGAACATGACCTAATCAGGTACCGTACTGTCAAGTTTTCAACAGCAGGTGACGAATGCTTTCCATGTTGTGCGTGTGTACGGGTTCAAGTTGGTACCAAATCTACCGATATTTATACCAATGAGGTAAGGTTACGCTGCAGAAGACCGTATTACGTTGGATACAGAACTTGTCCACACACGTTTGAAAACATGACCCGTTGAAGTTAAGGGGTACAGGCAATTGAGTGACCCCTATTGGCTATGTGGGCTGGCACCAGTACGGTACCTATTACGAAACGGTCGTGATCGGTGGACAGCTAGATTCTAGATTATCTACCTAGGTACGTCTGAGAAGAAGATACCATGATGCAAGCCTCCGAGTACCGACCGTAATACTTACCTAGGTACCCAGTACCCACTGACTGGCACTACCTACCATATAGTACTTACCTACCTACCGTCCTACCGTACCAATGTGCCTGAGCTCAGTCTCAGCGAGTCAGCGCCGACTGTAGGATAGTACACTGTCAACAAGGTGTGTACGACGTGCATTCCAATTTCCAAGTGCAGATGATGTGCAGTACGGTAACTGTCGATCGGCCTCCGTACTCAGCGGAGTCACCCGACCCGTACCTTCCGCGGCTGCGAAGTAACGAAGCCTGGACCAGTACGGTATACCGTATAGGTAGTCGTCACGACTCACCAGACCGAGTTACAGTGGTTCTTCTGTTCCGCGGAACGCCGGACGTCCAAGGTTAGCGGCAGGGGGTCGATCTCACGAAAAATGAATAATCCCGAACTCAAGTGCCGGGTTTTAGGGTTTCGTGCCGGTAACCAGCGCAGCGAGGGACCGCAGCGACGGCTGAAGTCCTGGTTGAAGTTCAATCACGTCGGTTCAGTCGCTGTGACATGACGCCAGTGCTGACACTTTGGAACGCCCACTTTAAGCGAACCTGGCTTCGTTTCAAGTTTAACCTGGCTTCGTTTCCAGTTACCTAACCGCGAAACTTCTGGGCCCGACCGTCAGGCGGAACGGAGCGGAACGGGGCGGAAGGCACACTGCATTGATTCAACACAGAAAGCATATAAAATAGCGTATATCCGATTGCAACGTCAAAGGCATGACGTTTTGACAGATTGTGATCACTGATTGGCTTTATATAATTCGAACTGGTAGCTTTGCTGACGTCGGCATACAACTTGAATATCATGCCTGTCAAATGGCCGCACTTGTGTCGTCCGTCAAGGATCCTCCGCTGACCGCGACACGCCATGTGTACGAGGCCGATAAACTTCAGGAACGGGAGATGTCACGGATTTTTGTAACAATGATGTCCTAGGTAACCGGTCGGACTTGCCGTCAGGTACCTACTGTAGGTAATCACATTGTACTAGGTACCTGCAGGAAAATGTCGTCCGTATCCTATTTGCATGTACTAATACCCACTAGGTACCCCTTCTGTACCTGCTTACGGTACCGAATGCAGATTACGGTACCTGGTTGAACAGTGGGGCTGTCTTGCACCTCTTTAAGCATCTACCGTACTACGGTGGTTACCGATCACACTACCCAGTACCTAGCTCACTCTGAAATTCAACACATGAGCGGGGCCCGTATTAGAGAGAGACGTTGCCAGCTAGGAATGTTACCACTGGTGCGCAGAGTCAAAACGAGTGCGATCCCCTCGCTTCGTGTGCTTCCACCCTGCTGTTCGCAGCTCGTTTCACAGCAAGCTCAACTGCCGCGCAAGGGCGCAGACTGCCGCAAACTCTACCCCTTCTCCACGCATTGCCACGTACGCTGCGCAAATTGCAATGGCGGCAGGAAAGTTCGCCCTCGTGCTTCTGACGGTGGCGCTCGTCGCGTGCGGTTCCGCGGAGGCAGGCACTAGCCGGTTGTTGCTGCAGAGCAACTGTGTGCCTGGCAGCAGTAACCCCAACGCTTGGTGAGTGCAGCTCTAATCATGTGGCATCATGGAAGTGAGAATTTCAGGATAGACGTTTCTTCTTTTCTGGATGGCATTGGCCATCTGACGCGGTAGAAGGTTGAGCTCCTCCCTGCGTGCCTGGTGCCAGCAACCCCAACACTTTGTGAGTGCAGCTCTAATGTGGCGCCCTTAAAAGCAGGATGGGCTTTCAATTTTTCTGGATGACACTGGCTGTAGAATGCTGAGCTTCCCCTGCAGTCTTGCGCACGAGTTGCGAAATGTGGACGATATCTGGAGCTTTGGGATTGCGGTTGATGTGGTGCTTTTGAATTGATGTGTGTTCAAAGACCAGCTGGGACATGTCCGGATATGCGGCACGCATCCTTTTCTGCAACGTGTGGTGCCTCAACTCTAAGTAGTGGAAGTACAGATTCCATCACAGCACGAATTTAGCTGCTGTACAGCTTAACATGAGCCTCTTGATTGCTGTTTCTGAGCTAGCAAAAGGTGGCCCGTCGATTCAGTTTTGAAGATGCCAATTTGACAACATCCACAAAATCGTTCTCTGTATTTTTAACTCAATTGCAAAGGTCAGTTGCAATGCAGCATGCGAGTAGAGGTACTGAATGCCTTGGTCTTTCAGGACCTTTTACGGGTCCAGTACAAGAGTTTAGTTGAACTGGCCTTGGCCAGTATTCAACTCAACCAAGGCAATGTGATGCAGAAACGGTCGCCATTCTATCATTTGAACTCTTGGTAAATACTTGGTTCATTCACCCAGATTTGAGGAGTGGGTCCTAGCCAAATCTCTCAGTCCTTTGCTCCAACTAGGCGGTCTGAAAGACGGCCGGCTAATGGAACCCCAAACAATTCCGCTTTGTTTGACTCGGCTTCCTCGCTCTACCCCAGGCAGTCTAAAAGACTAGGGAACGTTGCTCAATCTCCAAACAAACCCGCTTTGGTTAACTGGACTCTCCCTTGACCTCTGCAGCTACAACGCACCCGGAACTGCCTTCACCTGTTGCCCTGGATCCTGCACCAACAACCCCGGGCCTACCCCTGCTTGCCTGAATGCCGCCCCGACTGGAACGACCCCGGCACCTACTTCCCCCCCAGTGAACGTCACCCAGACCGGGGGCCCGCCTCTTCCCAAGCCCAACAGGTCAGTTGCAGATAAGCTATATATGCTTATAAACCGGTTTTTGATGCGCTGTTACTTCTTCTGCTTCTTCTATCTGTCTTGCCTCTCAATGTCAGTTACGGTATTAATGCAATCGTTCGCAAAATGTCTGGCCTGAAGCGCACTTTTTGTCATGCCTCCTGATGATAATTTTAAATTCTTCAAGGTTGAGTGTCAAAGTAGAGAGTTTGAACCATCAACTCTATAAGGACCCTGCATGACCCTCCATAATCCTTGGTACATCATTGGCCAATTCAGGAACAGCGGTTCACTGATTAAAAGTACTGAGCTGCTTTTGAATGCTGGCTTTGCCAACGCACTCACTGCAACCTTTTTGTTCCCCAGTAATATATATTCGGTGGACGACAGCCACCTAAAAGCAGACGTCACGAGGGCCACCCACGCCAATCTATCCTGACGTGCTCTGCGGTATACTTAACCTCACCCGCTAACCAGGTTTGCGCCTCCACTTCTTCAACAGAACCCCCACTTCTAAATCACCGCGGTTCATCTTGACTGCTCTGCAGCAATACTGAACTTCACCCGCTAACCAGGTTTGGCCCTCCACTTCTCTAACAGAAACCCCACTTTGAACTTCATCTTGACTGCTCTGCAGTTTCCTTAACTTCACCCGCTAACCAAGATTGCCCCTCCGCTAACCCTACAGGACCCCCACTCTGACCTTCATTGAGGTTGCCACCCCCGCTTCCACGACCACCTATGGTGACATCAACGCCCGGGGCGCCACAGTTTTCTACCGGTATGTCCCAGAATCTCGGTCAACAGGGCCGCACATAGCTCTGCCTCTCGCGCCGATTACTTCACAGCTCACGTTGATCTCTGAATCAGTAGGAACTGATTGCAAATGAAAAGTTTTCGCCCATCCTTCCCTCGTCCAACTCCCAAAGCGTATTGTATCAAGAGTCAAAAGTAGTTTGTTTTGTTCTGCGCTCCTTAGAGTAGTTTGTGGCGAGATCATGGGACTGCTATCATGTCATCTTAGGGCTGTAGGGCGCCTTGATCAGCTCGCTTTCAGTTCTCGCGTATAGCCGCAGACAAATTTGCAAGCCTTCAGGGCCATAAGCCAGTGTTTGAACCGCACGGCAGCAAAATAGTAGAGGCGTCTCCTGTCCTGAAGGCGAATTACGCCCATTGTGATCCTTATATGTAATCTGGATTGAAGACGCCCTCCCCAACCGCGAAGAAGGTCACCCGTCTTCACATCTCGGATGGCTCTCAAGACTTGCAAATTGTTCTGGGCTTTCTTCTCTTTCCGAATCGCACACCGTTCACTCAGCAGGAACAATGGTCTCAGATTCTTATTATGGTTTGTCAATCCAGTCTCAGTATCCTTCTTCCGAGTCAAGACACTGTACAATAATTTTGAATTGCAGTGAGGCTGGACACTGTACACATGAAATGCTGTGAGTCGGACACAGTCAAATGAGTCTGAACGGAGTAAGTCTGGACCCTGTACAGATGAATCTTCGTTACACAAAGTCTCGACATTGTACAGTCGAGTCTGAATTGCAGTGAGTTTGGACACTCTGCAAACGAAGTTTCTAAACCCTGATTTCCTCCGCGCAGGAACAAGGTGCTCGACACGCTGGGTGGTTCCCAGATCGGGTTCACGACGCAGATCGTGCGTCAGAGCATCGGCCCCAACGAGGTCCCCTTCGGGAACTTCGAGCAGGACACGCTCTACTACCTCGAGATCGGCTCAAGCACCGTCTTCGCTGACGTAAGCACCGCGAAATAGCCGTCCATTGCTGACGTAGTCGTCTGATAGTCGTCTACGCTGATGGACGATAAGTCCAATTGGTGCTTCTCTAAGCTGACGCGAGAGAAGGGTGCTGCAGTCCCGATGACGTCAGGCCTTCGCATCGAGAGGCATGAGGATTTGATCGTCCCAAGGTACAGTCGTGCGTGGGCTTCGAACAATGATCAGTCACCCTTAGGGACGTTCTTACGCAAGCCTTTGATCGACCTCGCAATTCAAATTTTGCGGTGTATTGAAGTAGACTCAAACGCTCACAGTAACTGACTCGTGCAACCGTCTGTCGCTACAGGGGCTCTTCAGCCAGCAGACGTCGGCTACTCTGGCGATCATTGGCGGGACCGGTGACTTCAGTTTTGCGCAGGGCACGATCGTGGTCGACAGGGCGGGCACCGACAGCGCCGGCAACGTGCTGTTCAAGGGCGCGCTTTACCTTCCCTAGACAGAAAATACTGCAACTTTGACTGATCTAGAAAATTTTGTGGTTGAATTTCGAGCTTTTTGGCAGCTAAGGTTGCTCACGCAAGTGATCATTGAACGTGTAACCTCGCTTCCGACTCGTAAATAAGCCGGGATGAGTACAACTTGACATTCAAATCACAACTTTGTCGGGAGGTAGTTTGTTCGCACTGAGCAATTGATCCAACAAAAATTTGGGTCCTACACGATCTTGAAAAGCCTGAACTCCATGATAGTGTACATGGCCCGTGTACGCACGCCTGCTTGACGCGCATGTGCATGTTTATATTGAACCGTACCATCACGGGCCCACCATGGTCTCCGTGCCGCCGCCGCGGCGCGTCGAGGCAGTCATGACACACGCCGGGGCTGATCGTCTAGATAATCTGCCGAATATCCATATCCTTATATGCTCGGTCGGGTACATACGTGTTGTTTCAAGTTTCAAGTGTCCCGGCGCGCGATCGGGCATGCTCACATGGCTGATCGCTATTCTACTTGAAGCATGATCCGATTGATCAATTAAGTCGGTTTTCGGTACATGCACGCGCAGCATAACATGCCACAATATATACACGATTGTTGGACGCGGCCCATCATGCAGTGACCATCTACTTGTAAGTAGACCGATTATGATGTCGGCGCCATAAAATCAGGCGCGGCCACCCTGGTACCACGATGCGCATTCCAAAACATTGTGCTTCGTATGGTGCGTCTACCAGACGTCCTGTTATATGTGGCTCTTCAACACATCCCAGCTATCATATGATCACTCCGAGTCAATATTGCAGTATTTGCAGCTCAATTGTCTGCCTAGCATGCCTCAGAACTCCGGGATTGAATGCATGGCCGTTGGACGAGCATTCCGCAGGCCAAATACTTTCTCACACGACCATAATACGTCTGAAACCGAAGAAAAGCAGATTGCCAGCTCAAATAAGGGATGATGTGCGGAGACCGCAGTCCTACGACCTTGAACGAGTCAGTATATAAGATGAACACCTTCGATGCTTCCCAAAATTGCCACCATTCTCATCCGCACCAATCCGGCTTCTTGCCGCTGCGCAGTATCACTACCTTGCAAACCGCTTGCCGGCGTTCATTGAACGAGCGCCTCAACGATCATCCCGCATTCCCCACCACTCCTGCTGTGCTTAACCAAACCCATCTGCCAATCACACCCAGCTTCCCCCAGGCCCTTTCCCCGACCGCCCACTAGCGACGCACCACCTTGTGCGGCAGCCCCGGTGCAAATCCTTCAGGTGACGTTCCGAGGCCACGTGCTTCACCAGCCCAATCCAATCTGACTGTTGCCCCTCGACGTGCTCGCCGCTCGTCCCAGTGTAAGCACTGCGCTTTTACGCCTACCGCATTACCTCAGAGTCTTGAACGAAAATGGGTGCGGAGTCGCGCTTGGCGGCCGTCAGCTCGGGGGTGTCGCGCCTGGTTTTCTGCGATGGGCGAAGCATGGTGACGTCTGTCGGTGAATGGAGCGTAGACCTACGGTGAACGGCGCAGGCTTTCCGCTGGAGGGCGTTTGAGAACCCTGACCTTTGGGTTCACATGTTAACGCCCCTGCGTATCGGCATTGAGTTGAGGGACCAATCTGAAAGCAATCTTGTCAACATTATCGAGAAAAGTTTGCCCCGGATTGTGGTGGTAGAGCAGGCGTTCCCCTTTGTTCTGCCAAAAGAACCACTGAGCAGCTTTTCAATGCACTCATGCTGTCTGAGGTCGTAGGTTGGTCACGGCTGAAGTCTCCAGATGATAAGACATGCAGCCTCGATTGCTTGCCAAAAGAACGAAAGGAGCAGATGCAGGACCAGCTGATCAAGAATTGCAGATGATTATCGGCAAGTGCACAACCGCACTGGGAATACCTATTCACAAGATGAGCGGTCGACATAGGTGCTACGTCAAGCAGACCTGTGACCGCCTCCTCAACCGAACCAAGTCAAAGACAAACCCGACTTTGTAGGAGGCGATTGACCGCCTCGCTTTTCTACTTACAAGCGCCATCACGTCTTCCAGAAGCCCTAGCGGACGGAGACTTGGTACGAAGCGGATTTCGATATTGTTTTCGGATGTCTTGGGAAAAGGTGCTATTTCGAGTCAGCAAAGCGAGAGGTTCCGAGCGAGCGCGTCAGACCCGTACCGTTTTCGCACTTTGCTTCAGCTTCTTCTTCGCCCCTAGTGCGCCTCCCTTCCCGGCCTTCTTCCCCGGGCTCAGCACCCCCCTCCCCCTCCCAACCGCAGCTGGCGCCCCCGGCCCTTGCCCCCCCGGCAGGGGAAATTGACCGCCCGCCCACTGCCCGGGGGTAAGCGGAGCACCTTGCGCAACACTCTCCTGGAACCCCCCGAATGCAGCCGTGCCTTGCAGGGGGTGCCCGCCGGCAGGGAAGGCGCCCCCCGGAACCGCGGGAAACAGGCTTTCGGCAGTCGGCGTGGGCGAGACTCCAAACGCGGTGTCGGACGTTCGGACCCGTTTGACGGCTGGGGCGGGGTCTGGCTCGGAATCGCTGGCGGGCCGTTTTGCGGACGGCGGGTGCGGCGGGGGGGCTTGGGCTGGTTGGGCGTGCCACATCTGGTCCATCATTGGCTGCGTGAGCAACGATGTTTGCACGTCAAACGTTGGGACTACTCATAAGCTTTCTGCTGAACGGCAGGGACTGGACATAGGAAGGCATGTCGATTCCTCCTGTCTTTATACGCCCATCAGTTGAAGGCGGGAGCAGCAAAATTGCAGGGAAGAGAGCGTCAATGCAGCACCCTTGGAACGAGTCGAGCGGCCACGAGAGATCTATATGAGAAGAGGTCTCATACACTCAAAATTATTTTGTCACTTTCTATCAATTCCACAATCACCTGATGTGGCACTTTACGGATATCAAGTCATGGAAGCAACCCCCTTTAAAGGCGCGCCCGCACGTCGCCGCTTGAAAAAACCATGGCCTCGGTTTCACCTTCGGCAAACCGCCTCGGACAGCAGTAACGAGCACTTTGCACTTCGGACCGCGCGTCGTTCGCTTTGCTTTAGAGATCCAGATTCACCATTGCGGATCAACGTTGCAAGTAACAAGCCCAGTCCTGAACGCTTCCCATTCGTTACAATGAGGGAAGCAAGAACCTCAGGCTCTTTATCAAGTCCTGAAGAACGGACAAGTGACAACTTCCGAAACCTGCTTTGAGGATTCTACGAGGATCGCCCGCATCAGCTACAAGAGTCCTTCATGCGTCTCCAGACGAGGGAGGTAACCAAGCCTAAAAGTAACGGTTCCAGGAACGCAAACTCACCTTGCGCCGGATCGCCTCCTGCGACGCATGCTGCTTTGCCACCTTCTTGGACGGGCCCGAGGCAACCGCGACCGGGACCCCGTCCACCTTGACCTGAAACGTGAACGTCTTCTTGTGGGGGGGTCCCTCTGACGCGAGCTCCTCAAACTCGACGGCCTGCCCGTGGTAAACGTTACGGACTTCCTGCATGGGGGGCGGCCGGGAAGGGCGGGGGGCGTTTTGCTGCCCAGGAACGGGATGCGGGGGGGCGGGGTGGCCCTGGTTGGGGAGACCGGGGAGAGGTACCGGCCTGGACCAGGAAAGGAGCGTAGCGTTAGAAATGTGGATTCAATAGGATGCACCACGAAGCATTTTTTCCTTCAGGAAAAGCGATGGTGGCGAAAACGAGCACAGCTTTTCTGGAAAGCGCATCTACTTGTAAGGACGTGCTTCTAGAAGCGTGTCTAGATTTCCGTATTCCTTGATTGTCGAAGCCTCTTGGTAGCACGCTGTTCATTTCGTAACATGCGATGAAGCAATTACCCGTACTCTGCCCTGAAGTTGCCGGGACGCGAAACCTTTTGTGAAGTACGTGTGATTCGGGGGGGTTTGTGCGGAGTCGCTCCGACCTCCTACGGAAATGTGAGAGCGCCACAGAATGCACGCATCGCAGCCCGTAAGGCGTCCTACACGTCCGCAACTATCGGCAACCAAAGAAAGATATGGCAAATGCAACCTCGATAAAGTAACAACGAGCTCCGGCTGCTCACCTGGACCCCCCCTGGCCCTGCAGCATCTCCAGCACCTGCCGCGCGCCGTTGTGCTTCGCCAACCGCTTGTTCGGCCCGTGCCCCTCCCCAACCACCCGCCCCTGCATCAGCACCTGCGCCGTGACCGGCGGACCGTTCGCCACCTTGATGAACCGGTACGTAACGTCCCGCCCCATGCTCCGCCCGAGCGTGTGCAGTTCCGTTAGCACCTCCCGCTTCCCGTTCCCTGGCTTTGCCGATCCCGTTTCCGCGTCAAACCCCGGGGCCCCGCTCGTGCCCGGCTGGTCCTCGCCGTAGCTGTCATCCGCCAGCGCCCGGAAGTCGAGGCCGCCGAACAAGGCCCCGGCCGCGGCCTGCGCGCCAAACGGCCCGTCCGACGCCGCGAAGCTCATCGGCTCGTCCGAACTCGGCGCGGGCTCTTCGTCCATAGGCTCCACCGACGCGCTCCGGCTCGACGGGATCGAAGGGATCCCTCCGTCGTCCCCGCTCGCCAGGGCACCTTCCTCCTCGCTAAGCAGCTCCCCCTCCTCGACGCCCCCTTCGACAGCCGCTTCCGCTTCCTCCCGCTGCTTGGCCCTCTCCTGCGCGCGCGCTCGCTCCGCGGACGAACCCGACGAGAACGACCCGCCCTCCTCCCCGCTGGGGTAGTCCTCCGCGCCGCCGCCCGCCTCTAGTTCGTCGCCGGAGTCCTTACCGCCTTCGGAACCGTTACCGCCCTCGAACGGCTCCTCGTCGTCCACTTCCGGCTCCGATGGATCGTCGCTTCCGCTCCGGTCGTCTGCCGGCTCGACGTGATCGGGAGGAAATTGATGTTGCACCCGGGGCGACGGCCGAGCCTCCCAGAGTCCTGGCATGCCTGGGGGAAGTGCGCGGGGGAAGCCTCGGGGGGAAGGGAGCACGGGGCCGCCGCGCGGGGAGGGCAATCGGCCACCGAGCATGGGGAAGTGAGGTGGCTGGTTCTGCAGCGACAGACGACTCGAAATTTAGTCTGAGCCCTTATATCTGGTGCATAAGTCAACATCCACTAGAAGCAAAAAATGTGCTTTTAGGAATCTTGTTCTATCGAAAGGTCCACTTCGACGGGAGTCTGCCCGGCTTGTGCAGTAATGAAAAGCAATGCTCAGCCTTTGGCACGCTGCAAGCGTGCTTCTTCAAATCGGACGACTCGTTCGAACTCAAAAAATGGATGTACGGATTGGTTGGGTATATCAACAACTGCGAGAGCTGACGCAAAGTGACCTGTGAGACCTGCGACTCGTGCGAGTACGAGAAGCCTAGCCACAAACGAACCTTGAGTGTACGAAATCTTTGAAGCAAACTGCTGAACCGGGCAGTACCGACGGACTCAAGGGGCCCGGACAAAACCTCATCAAACAAACAGGAACATTTCCAGACAGAGACTTACATACGAAACGAAGCACCCATTCATTTACAGGGCTTGCAGACGTCAACCCAGTTACAGCCAAGCGCTTACAGCCTTCTGAGACGGACAACCGCAAGTGGAGAACTCCCCCACGTCTGTCGGTCCGGGAGGAATACCCGTTCCACGATGAATTTGTTCTCCGAGACCAGTCAGTTCATATGGAACGAAGCGTGACCCCCTTGTAGGGCTTGTTCTTGAGCTCCTCACGTCACAAGAAGCGCAACCCCCCTTGAGTATCTTCTGCCGCTGCTCCTGAAAGACTAGTCGTCGACAATACGACTTACTTTAAAACCAGACGCTAACGACAAAACGAAGCGCGCTTTACCTGTTGCAGGGCCTGTTGCAGACGCGCCTGCTTTAAAACCAGACACTAACGACACAACGAAGCGTGACCCACCTGTAGGGCCTGTTGCAGGCGCGCCTGCTCCTTGAGCTCCTTCTGCCGCTGCTCGTGGGAGAATAGTCGTCAACGCTACAAGCTCTCAAAGACCAGTCAAAGAGAATAAGCCGAAGCGCGACCCACCTGTAGGGCTTGTTGCAGCCGCGCCTGCTCCTTGAGCTCCTTCTGCCGCTGCTCCTGCTGCTGCTGCAGCCCCTGCACCTGCTGCATCATTGCCTGCAGCGCCCCGGCTGTCGCCGGCCGCGGCCCGGGGGGC